TACTACTTCACCCACCCGGGATTTGTCGTCATCACCACCAGTTTCCCTCCTTTTCGCCTCCTTCTCCCGTATCATCAACTTAGCGTCGTTCCGTGGCCGGCCATAGCCCCCTATTGGCGTAGCACGCCTTGCGGGAATTGCTGACGTAGCGGCGAGCAGAGAACGCCGAAATTCTGAAGGCCCAACCCAAATACGCAGCGGCCTGCGCCACGTGGTGGCCCCCGACGGCCCAACTTTTTTGGACCGCCTCCGCCGCGGAGGGACTTCCCCGTAAACCGTCGCCCATAGTACCCCGGCCCCATCGGGCCTTGAGTCCCTTGCGCACGCGCCCCTTGTTCGCCTAATTGCATTCATACCCCTAAGGCTCCCCCACTTTTCCCAAAAATCCTTGGCACACCCCTTTTCGCACTTCCAGGCCCACATCCCTCTCCGATCAGGAAGTCGTGCTGGGCGTGAGGTTGGGCGTCACAGTGCGCAAATTATCTAAGATCAAACGCAGATGCTGCTGGTCCTCTTCTAAAGTCTTACTAAAAATCAAAATATCATAATTTATCCAGCCACTCTAGAAAGAGATCGTTCATGCATCTTTGAAAGGTCGCAGGGGCATTCGTGAGACCAAATGGCATGACCACGAACTCATAGTGGCCATTGCAAGTTTTTAAGGCCGTCTTATGCTTATCTTCGGGCTGTACCTCTATCCAATGGTATCCCGATTTCAAATTGATCTTGGAAAAATACTTGCAGCCCTGCATGCTATCCAATAGATCACCGATTTTTGGCAAAGGTTTGACATTCTTGATCATTATAGCGTTCAGCCCCCTATAATCTATGCACATGTGCAGTTCGCCTTCTTTCTTTCGCACCAGTAAAATTGGTGCGCCATATGGTGAGGAACTAGGCTTTATCAAACCGTTCTCGAGTGGTTCGTCCAGCTACTTGAGCAGCTCAACTCCATGAGAGCCATACGATAGATGGGACGCTTGGGAGTCTTGCTACGGGTCTCTATTTCGATCCGGTGCTTTATTTCCCTCTCAACTACGTCTGTTGGGGCCTCTCCCACATCATCGAACTCTAAGCTCTTGACTTTGGGCGGACGTAGTTAACGAGGTTTTTCTTGACCACGTGCCTAGCGAACATGGGGGCACTCATACAACAAAGCGACACGCTGCTCTCTACGCTGGACTCATGAAATAGACGCATTTTATTTTTCCCACCTCCGGGGCTGGGCAGCCAACACTCGTGCTCACCCATCTTGACGTCGGCGTACGCAGCGTTTCCCCAGCTCGTTCCTAGGATCAAGTCAAAGGGTAGGTTGTCCTCCACTAGAAGGTCAAGGAGTGCAAAACTATCTCCACCTTAGTCCCCCCCTCCAACCGGAAGTATGCCTTCACCTCTTCGACGTATTTGCTCACAACCATATCTCTATTATCGATCAGTTTACTGAAGTATGCCTTCACCCCTTCGACGTATTCGCTCACAACCATCTCTCTATTATCGGTCAGTTTACTGACAACCGTTCTGGATCTTCTGCAAACCTTTTCAGCTGATGTAGCTATGCGTTGACCCGCTATCCACTGATGCGCCTACTCTCTCTCTACTACTTTCTACATTAGCTATTATTAGCTTCCCTTAGGATTTCTTATTCATTTTGGCCTAAACTTGGCAACGAGTGATCAGCTCATCATCGATGCCTGCGAGGGAGCCACCTCGAGAGATCCTAGCACAAGCGACCTCTAGACAACGAACTAGCTGGGGGCCTACGCCAGTCTTTGCCATTGGGGCCTTCAGACAGGAGGGTGCGTGCGCAGTGTGCGCTTCTACCTTTCTACCTATGTCTAAAGACCTAGCATGAGCAACTGCAACTCCTACTACCTGTATTCAGAGCTAAAGGGGACAATGTGGTTGTGGATGGGTCACTACACTTTAAGGACTGGTTGGCCTCAAGACATTGCTTCCATAGGTCGTACATCATACTCATCTTCTCCGAAGGCCTACCTTCCACACGCCCTGGGTGCGCTGGGTAGTAGGTACGGCTTGCGACCTCTACCCTTTCCCCCCGCTGAAGGGAGAACCACGCCCGCCTTGCGGGGAACCATTACCCCTACCTCCCACATAATAGCTTTCGTTGTTACTACTCCCCTAGGCGTTGGGTCCTCTACCTCCACCTCTTCCTCTTCCTCGGCCTCCTCAACCTCAACCTCCTCTTCCTCCTTGCCGCCCTCCCCACGGGCTGCAGCGGCCACGTAGTCTCCTCTTTGGGCTACTTATTTGCTGTCCTGCTCTTCTAGTCCGTAATCT